AAATTGATATCAAATCGAGAATTCACCATTTGAATCGGTGATTCCTCATTTTCCATATCATCATCAAGAGCTATTCGGTGATACTGAATCTCAATTTTGTTCCTATCGCTTGCTGAAGACTTTGCCAGAATCTGGACATAAACTTAGAATCCTTGTCCAAAACAATAGATACCAGAACTCCATGCAAATGAATAATCTCATTAATATAAATGGTAGCAAGCCTATCCGCATTATAGAAAGTTTTCACAAGTAGAAAATGTGCAGACTTGGTTAATCTATCCATAATAACCCAAATAAAATTCATACCTCTACGTGTCAGAGGTAGTCTATATATATATATATATGCATATAAATTCAAATAGTTTGATCTAGAGGCAACCTCAATTGTTATGAATGGCTCATATTGATATCGGCCAAAATCTTGACAAAACCGAAGCTCCAAGATATGTTGCATATGTAAAGAGGTGCCAACCAATCAAATTCTTAGCAAAGCCAAATACAAAGAGATGCCAACCAGTTTCGACACCATGAAGCTAAGAGAAGTTGCTGACCAAGAGTTTCGGTACATCGAAGATCCCCTGCATTCCAATAAGAAATTGCTCACCCCCCATAACCAGCTAGCCTTCTCTCGGCACCGATGACAAATGAATAAACCATCCTTCATTGGCTCCCAAATATTAAGATGAATTTACCACCAAAGCTTGACTAGCTGCCGAGAAGTACCCCGATTCTTTACGTGATCGGCAAATAAAAACCCAACGCTGGCTTCACCCCTACACTACAAGAAAATGGGGCTTAAAAGACGGAACTATTTGCGACGGTACACTTATTTTACCGTCGCAAAAAGTCAATTTTTTTGTAGTGCTAGTGCAATACAATGCCAAGTTCCAAACAAGCAGAGGCCGACAAAATGATTAGATGGTTGACACCAATACATGGACAAAGCCGATCATGGACGCTGTGAATTTTCCCATCACGATATTGCTCAGCTTCTAGGCCTTTTTTTGGCATGGGAAGTTCGACACTAAACACGGACCGATACTCGGAGTATTTTGATTACATCTAAACGCCATCAACCATCAATTGACCATCTTCATTTTGGGAGTTCCAGGCAACTCCGCGCTAAAGATCAAATTGTGAGTGTCGCAAAGCCAATAACAACCAAAGCAGTTGTGACCAAAAAAGGGAGAGTTCGTTATATTTCTCATTTTTTATATGCACACCCATGAATTATTTAATTGAATTAAAAATAAATAAATATCATAATTGAATAAATGAATTGTTGCTCATAAACCCATGGTTGGGTCTCGACTCTCTCTCTAAAAACATTGGTCGGAATTGCACTGGCAGCAGTGCTACAGAGCACTAGTAGAGCTGCTCTAAAAGCAGCTCTACTGAGGTGGCATCCCACTTTTTAAAATAAAAAAATTAAAAATTAAGTAAAAGACAAAACAAAAAGTAGAAAAAAACAAATTAATGCTCATTTAGAGCTCCAATTTTAGAGGTCAAAACCATTTTTGTTGCACTAGTCATGCTCATGAATTGGCATTCTAAACACACCTTTGAAAACCTTTGAAAGTTGGAGATCTTGTTGAGAAGAAACGAATGCTAACTTGTGTTCTTATATCCACAAATGGGACTCACAAATTGCTGACCATATGCTTCGGAAGGCCAAAAGAACCAAACAAGCTACCAACCAAAGCTGGAGTAACAAAGTGCGACTAATTCGGCAACAAGGTGCCTTCAACGACATACTAAGTAGCTCGTTCACTACTTCGGATCACTGCCGATTTTCTGAACTCACCAAGCAGACTCGTGACAATCTCTCGGCAAAAGGTGCAAGCCATTCGGTGTCAATGAAAGGCCGAGAATAAGTTTCATTGAGCACGCATAAAATTGAAGCTCATTCCGACCACACCAAGGTTCTTCGGCGAGATCACCCATGTCACTCGGCCATGTCATCATCTCGCAAGAAGATCCGTTTTCTAGCAATGGCTTTGGCTACCTTGGTCAGGCTCGGCAACGGACTATCAGACCGCAACACTTCCGTTCTCGACAATCACAACTCGTTTACAAAAATCATTAACCGCAACAAGTTTGCCGAGTTACTAACATTGCGCAACCACGAGATTAGACCTAAGATCATGCTCACCACTACTCTTACTCCGCAACATTCAAGAGTCGAACACACACACACACACACAAAAGAGTAGACCAATCTTATTTTTGGTAAACTTTCGGTAGTCCAACGGCATCCAATCCGAGGCGGAATGATGCATCTGAATAGTGGAATGAACACTAGGACGAATGATGAATCCAACGCCGCAAAAATGAGGCCAATTGGACTTAAAATAAGGGAGATACAAGAGCTCAAACTCAGGAGTTTGCATCTAAAAATTCTGCATTTCACGACCTGCTACACGTAGAAGATAACATTAGGATTTATCGTGCGCTTCTCGGTACAAGGTGCTCCATTACATCTTAGCGCATTCTGGTTAATCGGGTGGTTCGATAACTTCGGTCATGACTACCCTCGAGGTTTTCGCTGTGTAGAATTCATCTTTGGAGTCCAATTTTGCAAAGTCCGAGTCTCACATTGGAATCAATTGACTAGCACATTAGGGACATTAAATGATCAATCAACGGTCAGATCGTGTCCGATCAGCATGCAATTTCAGCAGTAAGCTCATGAAGTTAGGCCACAATCATTCATCTTCGTTGGTCCTTCATTCAACATTTTAGCCATATATCACCAATTGGGACTGGACCTACAACTTGGATTTATATTACTTTCGATTTCGCACCATGAAACTACGCCGTTTGAAGTCCAATCACAACGATCTAATAGTCATTTCTAGTTATTTGGAGCATTCCGGATACATCTGTATGGTCTGATTTTACAAATTTCATACCAAGCATTTGTAGACTTTATATGCCCTACCCCATATCCACCGCAGCTCAAACAACACTTTTGCCGCCACGCCTAGCATTTGATCAATGTTGAATTCAACAAATTTGGCGTCTTCCCGCCTATATAACAACCCATATCATTCGGCAATTTTGGCTCAAGTCTATTCTGACTTCCTTCCGGCTAACAACTTTTCTTCCTAAGCAACGGGGCAAAGAATCTACGTCAACAATTTGTTCTTGGCTTACTTTTCGACAATGTTGGTCAATGTCCTATCTGAATTCTTTCTGCCTAACAACTGTCATTCGATAAAATCAACGAAAGGCTCCAAATACGGCGCAATCTTCGCACTCGGCACGGAGCGCCATTAGCAAAGGTCTCCAAATTCGAAGCAAATCATACATATAGTAATTGTGGCATCCTTGGTGTAGCCCTTGCTCGGGGGTTATAATACCGCGGCCTACAACCCTCGCCCGGGGAATAATAATGCTGCAACCTATGACTTTCGCACAGGGATTATAATACCGCGGCCTATGGCCCTCGCCTGGGGATAAAAATATTGTGGCCTATCGTTATAGAGATATTTGATGTAGACCCAAGGGGTTCCTATATTAGACCTATATAGTCTCATCATGCACTATTGGATGTACCATATATATATATATATATATATGTTTTGTGATGTTTGATATGACAAGTAATCACTTATGATATGATTTGGTTGGAACTCATGTGATATAATTTCATACTAGTATTACTCATTGGGTTTTAGTTCACCCCTCTCACTTCTCTACATATAGTTATACATATATTTTTACATACATTAGTACATACAAGCATCCATCTAGCTATTCATTTATTCATATTATTCATTTATCAAATGTATTCTTTGTCAAGAGACTTAACATCTATTTGAACAGCATAACTCGGCAATAAAAACTCTTAGTCCTTCTACTGAAGACAATAAAAGTTTTGGGACAATTATGGGAGCTAGAAAAAATATCAACTCATTTGGGTCCAGCCCAAATAAGGAGGCCCATTAAACAAATATCAGACCCCCATATAAAAAAGGAAGGCCCCCCATGAAAGATAGGTATGCCTCATCTTCTTGCCATAGAGCACACCAACACTCTTGATTTTCTTCATCTTCCTTCTCTGATTCCAGTGGCTAATTTTATCATCAGAGTGTCTCCGTCCGGCAACCCCGGTTGGGTGGCACTGACTATGTTCATCCTTGCAGATATACTGGAGCCAAGCTCATCTCTTCGTTGGATCTCTTCAACAATCCATATGAAAGGATTTTTTGTGTCTCACAATAAATAATTTAGTATTTTGTGCTAATTAAGGACTCTCCCTTTAAGAAATAGATAGATACTTTATATACAATTTTACCCTTCTATATGTAAGGGCGAGCAACTTATCTTGTAGCCCAACCCATTATCGTCTCCTTCAAATTCAATCTATGTTTCTGATCCATATACATTTCATAGTGATTTTCAAGTGGAAACTCACTCACACTAATATGTTAAGCTTGAATTGAGTCTTCTGTGGCTCTTTATGTCACTTTCAAATTCAAAGTGAATCTGTTTGGTTTCGGCTTTAATTTTTTACTTAAACAAATCATTTTCTTTGCAATACAAACAATACTGGTAGACAAAGAAGACCTCCAAAAACAATAGGAGCCTAATTACAGAGGAGAGGGGAGAATCTGAGTAAACCCTTTACAATTGAAGAGAAAGAAACCAAAGAAACTGCACAAAGAGTAGTTAAGGCAGAAAAAGAACACCTCAGGGGAAAAAAATGAAGAAGCAAGCGAGAGAGAGAGAGAGAGAGTGAACACTCTCTGGTTCTTTCATCCTTTCATCCACAAGACGCTTGAACAACTTCTACTCTAAAGAGAGATGACAACATTTTTTAGTGGCACCAGCAGCAGCAGAGCTTCACATCCTCTAATTTGATAATTTACTTGTTTTTGTTTTTCATTTCAGGTTAAAGGGGAGAGGGTCAATTTATTTGTGTAATTTTAAGTACTATCATTGCAAACTATTTTTTTCGTAAGTCTGAAGTTCTTATCTTTAACCAAAGAAAGGGGTGAAAACCAAAAAGATGATTCAACAGACAAAAGCAAGCTCTAACTTTAACATTGACTAGAATATCCTCAAAGCATAAGAATGGCAACTGTTAACTTCAAGCTCCAAACATGGAAGATCCATTCCCTTGACATGACACAAAACACGTGAAGTACAGACAAAACTGCTCATGTTCTAGCACTGTTGAAGATTGAAAGTACGAATTTAAAGAAAAACCAACTAAATTGGCTACATTCAAAGATGATAGTGTAGGAACGATGCAATCACAAGCCAAGCGCATGAAGCATTATTGCATTTTGTGCATGCATTCGGTTTTCGGCTTGGGGGAAGACGATAGAGTTTGGAGCTTCAATAACTTCATCAGTAACCTCCACGCCTCTTTCTGCTGGTAAACAATGCATAAAATAGGCTTTTGGACCAGCTAATTGCATAAGAGCTTTATCCACCTGCAATTAATAGCACGTGAAGTCAGAAAAAGACTAAAGATAGCTATCCAACTTCAGCTAAAACGAGATGATGGGCAACAATATCTTATCCACTACTGAAAAAAAAACAATTCTATGGAGTCATCATCATACTTCTGTAAGATTATGTGCATGGGTTATTTTCTAAGAGATGATCAACATAAGTTGTTACTACAATTAAATGTCCTCTTGAACTAGGCTCCTAAATAGATAGATAATTAAGAGGGAATAAAAATAACCACGAGAATTATGTGGGTCCAGGTATTGCTACGTGGCATGGTTATGGATTATCATGTATATAACAGTTATCAAATTCTTATCAAACATTGCATTAGTGTTTTATGTTATGCAAAACTTATCAGGATATGAAATCTTATTGATATGGAAGTCCTGAACAACAGGAGATTGTTTGGGATAGGACTTCTGGAACATTCAAATTACTTGAGAGGTAAGTCATTGGATATTATAAATAGGCAATACCCTCATGGGTTGAGGTACGCAATTTCTCTCTATGAATTACTCCATTAAATATTTTGATAATATTGGAGGACTGACTTGGGTGTCGGAGGACCCCCCGCTACGGCTGGGGGTGTTTTGTCTTGCAGATAGCGATTGTGTGATGGTGTTATTCGTCTTCTTCGTTGGATTTCTTTATCAACAAATACGTGATTTTTCTTTGCCCGTACAATTGGCGCCGTCTATGGGAAACGATGAAATTCAACAAAGATAATTAATAAACCACGGTAAACTTTCTTGGAGGGCCTTGTTCATGATATTGGTTGTTTTTTACCGAATACATACTTTTACATTGGAGTTCAACAACAACAAAAACAAATACAGTGTTCTTGTATAAATATGCTTTCAAATCTACATGGATTTAAGCCACTGCTTTTATAATAGTCATCATTCATAAGGCTCTATCAAAGATTTGCTATTTCCATATATATAGAAGTATAATGTGTGTATGTGGATATGACGAAAAGCAACGTTAGCAAAGTCACATGCAACCAGTTTCAAGATTTTGTCTGTACACACTTGTTTTTGTTTTTCGGAGTTGCTTCTAGGCTTGGTGTAAAGTTAATCGTACACATAAAAGGATTGACACAACTCAATGGAGGAAAAAGAAATAGATGAGTTGCGATATGGTTACATAAATGAAAGTATAAGTCATGGCAAAAAGACAGTAGCTTCCTAGCCAAGATATTATATGGAATTTTTATTATTTACGGAGTATTGATTTTATGCATTATTACTCTGCGGATGAAGATATTTTATTGTGCTAAATTTTAATCATCTATGGAGCACAGAGTTTATCCATTATTATTCCGACCACAAATACATGAAAGGTCAAATTATTATATCAGATTTTTATTATCTGAAAATATGAGTTTTTATACCAAACGTGGATGAAGATTATTATTTGGGTCAAATATGCTGAGATGGAGTTCGCGTTTTATGGATCATGGGGGCAATATGAATTACACTAACTTTTGGTTACAAATTTTATCTCTTTGCCAAGTTGATTTGGGCAAGAGATAAGTTGGCAGGTTTGATCAACTTGAAAAATCTTTATTGAGCGGGTTTTGCTTGGTGAAGTAGATTGGCAGGTTTGACCAATTTTGAAAAAATTTTATCGAATGGGTTTTGCTTGGTGAAGTAGATTGGCAGGTTTGACCAATTTTGAAAATCTTTGTTGAGCGGGTTTTGCTTGGCGAAATAGGTTGGCAGGTTTGACCAACTTGAAAAATCTTTATCGAGCGGGTTTTGCTTGGTGAAGTGGATTGGCAGGTTTAACCAATTTTGAAAATCTTTGTTGAGCGGGTTTTGCTTGGCGAAGTAGGTTGGCAGGTTTGACCAACTTGAAAATTCTTTATCGAGCGGGTTTTGCTTGGTGAAGTAGATTGGCAGGTTTGACCAACTTAAAAAATCTTTGTCGAGCCGGTTTTGCTCAGCAAAGTAGGTTGGCAGGTTTGACCAACTTGAAAAATCTTTGTCAAGCGGGTTTTGCTTGGCAAAGTGGGTTGGCAGGTTCGACCAACTTTGAAAATTTTTGTAGAGCAGGTTGGTGGTTTGTCCAATAGTGGGATTCCTTGCCGAGCAGGTTTTGCTTGCCAATAAGCAAGTTGGTGTTTTGGTAGTTCCAAACAAGATTAAGCATTCTTGGAATAAGTCCTAACTAAGTTAGGCATTCTTGGAATAAGTCCTAACAAGGCATTTTTGGAATAAATCCTAACTAGGTTAGGCATTCTTGGAATAAGTCCTAGCAAGGCTAGGCATTTTCGGAATAGGTCCTAACGAGGTTAGGCATTTTTGGAATAAGTTTCAGCAAGGCTAGGCATTTTTGAAATAAGTCCTAATAAAGTTATGCATTTTGGAATAAACCTTAGCACCTATGTATGGTTTTAGCTAGACATTGTGCCTGTTTGGCAGAGCTTAATTATAGCTTATTTCAGCTTTCAACTTAATTTAAGTTATTTTGATGTGTTGTGTTTAGTTTAGCTTATAGCTTATAGTTTATAGCTTTTTGAAAGTCAGAAATCAGCTTATTCTTTGAGTGGGGCATGAGATGCTTTAAGAATAAGCTGGAAATCAGCTTAAGCTGAAAGTTATAAGCTATAAGCTGTTGAGGCATAAGCTATAAGCACTTTCCCACAGCTCTACCAAACAGGGCTATTATTACACGGCTATTTTTATTATAACAACAGAAAGCTTCCACTCTTTCACTGGGTTCAAAGAGAATAAAAGCTTAGGGGTGATTGAGAGCGAATAAAAATAACCACAAGAATTATGTGGGTCCAGATATTGCTACGTGGCATGGTTATGGATTATCATGTATATGACAGTTATCAAATTCTTATCAAAATTACATTAGTGTTTTATGTTATGCAAAACTTATCAGGATATGAAATCTTATTGATATGGAAGTCCTGAACAACCGGAGATTGTTTGGAATAGGACTTCTGGAACATTTAAATTACTTGAGAGGTAAGTCATTGGATATTATAAATAGGCAATACCCTCATAGGTTTAGGTACGCAATTTCTCTCTATGAATTACTCCATTAAATATTTTGATAATATTGAAGGACTGACTTGGGCGTTGGAGGACCCCCGGCTACGGCTGGGGGTGTTTTAGCTTGCGGATAGCGATTGTGTGGTGGTGCTATTCGTCTTCTTCATTGGATTTCTTTATCAACAAGTACGTGATTTTTTTTTGCCCGTACAATAATGTAAATATGCAACCCACAACATCAGAATTAGCACTTAGGACCACTGGACGTATACGGTGTAATGTATATCACCCCCAACTTATTGAAATTTGTCTCACAGTTTTGCTCAGAGATTGCAAATATGCATCTTTCCTTAAAAAAGGCCTGTGAAGCCACTCCTACAACACCACGGCTTTCAAATCTTCAGAGCTTCTTGGAAGAAAGAGTTTGTGTCTCAGTCCACACCTCATTCTTGAGAGAGAGAGAGAGAGAGAGAGAGAGATTGGGAGTCCAAGAAACAAGAAGTTCCAGAACAATCTTTTTGCTGTACCTTCTTCTGTAAAAGGTCCTCTCTTTTGCTATCATCAAGTTAAAATTTTGAATCCAGGAAAGAAAAATTCCACAGCAGGCTAGTAACAGAATCATCTTAATAGCACTTGGTCAATCCAGTGTCATATTCAGAATTGACACACACACACACACAAAAAAAAGAAAAAAAGAAAAAGAAAGAGAAAGAGTGATAATTGGAGTATATCTAATCCCCTCTCGATATGCTTATTGTCAACTGATGTGGCTTAGTTTTGTAACACACTACAATACATACAGATTTACCTATATGTATGGTAAAATGAGAGCCCTGCACGTAGTAACATTGGGCACCGTGATCTTTAAATGTGTCATATCGATTAATAGCTACCAAGAAAAGAGAGACAGAGTAATGCCAAACCAGACTATAGATAACTCATTCAAATATAAGTGCATCTTTCAATATGTAATAAACTTGAACTAAAAGAAGGGGCAGTATAATAATTTCATGCCCCCCAAAACATATTATATTGGAAAGTTTATCAAATTGAACTGTATTTCCTCATCTACTCCCCTTAGAGCCAAGTCAATTTCTATTAAAGCTCACCAACTTGAAACTCATACATCTTGTCAGATAATTTAGTTCATGCCATTTGGGGTTGGTCTTTTAGTGGCTTTTTGTAGAATCTAAAAAAGCTAATGGGTGTGGGAAGTTGAGTGGCTTTTTACTTATTTGCAAGTGAAAAAGTCGAATGGCTTTTTGGCTTTTTTTAGTTGATGACAAACAGGCTTTTAGCTTTTTGGCTTATTTAGATGAACAAGAACAAGCCAAAAAGCCACCCTCACCCCAAACAACTCCGAAATTAACATAATATTGGAGGTCCACGCTAAATCCCATGCAAGCCACCAGAGGTATCGAAAGCTAAAATTAATCAGATAAAAAGCTCTGTCCCAGTGTATACCTGGAACCCTTGGAACACTTGGCGGCGATAAGAAGCTTCTTCCTTTTGCCCCATGCTGGCCCACACATCTGAATATACAACATCTGCTCCTCTAACAGCTTCCTTTGGATCATTTGTTATCTCAATTTTGCTGATTCCAGCCCGCCTTGCCTTCTCAACTGTCTTTTGATCTGGTTCAAAATCTTTAGGGCAGGTACATACAAAATGGAAAGGAATAACTGACGCCAACAACAGCCAAGAATGTACAATGTTGTTTCCATCCCCAACATAGACAACCTGGATTGTACATGGTCATCAGATCAAATTGGGAAGAACATTTAAATGGTCAAATATAAATGGGCTAACCTTTGTTCCTTCCAACTGACCAATATGTTCAATTATTGTGAGCGCATCAGCCATTATTTGACAAGGATGGTTGTAATCTGTCAGCCCATTAATTACAGGTACTGTTGCATACTTAGCCAGATCCAGAATGTCCTGCAAAGCAACAATTTTACATTTTAAAAACCAAAGGGACGTTAAGACCTGGAAAAGTACAACATCTCAACTAATTGTTTATTTTCATATGTAATAGAAGCCCCTCATTTCTTCTGGAAGAGATTATAAAGATAGAGACCGAAAAGTATTTAATTCAGGAAATGGGACAGGGAGCTGAGAGCCATAGTATTTAAAGATTTATTGGTCAAATATCCCTTTGATTCAATGATCCAATTTTTCTAAGATGTTACCATCAATTCCCCTAAAAGGAAATATGGCAACGAAACAACTGTTGTCTAAACAGTTGTATTGTATCTTGATAAGGAACTGTAACAAAACTTGCAAACAATTGTTACTCACTGCTGTAGGTTTGTAACAAATATTTGAAACAAGTTACCTGATGTGGCCAGATATGCATGTGGGTGTGAGAGAAAGCGGGAGGCGGGAGAGTTAAGTAGTAAATTTTAATACATTATGATGTGCAAATAATATCAAACTTTGAAAATTCATCAGTGTACCTGATGAGCAAAAAGGCGTGCCATAATGACATCATTATAGCGTGAAAGCACACGAGCAACATCACGAGTTTCCTCCCGCTTACCCATCTGGATATCATCTGGTCCCAAATATAAAGCATGGCCACCAAGCAAGAAAAATCCAGTCTCAAATGAAACCCGTGTCCTCATGGATGGCTTGGCAAAAATCATTGCCATGGTTTTCCCTTTGAATGGGAGATATGACCTGTCCCCTGATTTTATCAGTGCCTTGACCTCTTTGGCACGATCTAAGATCTTCAATATAGTGGCTTTGTCAAAGTCACTAATGTGAAGAAAATCTCTAGGCTCTGTTTTTCCTGGATAACAACTCATAAACAATAGAAATCAGATAATTTTTTGTTGCTGCCTATTATGTGTCGTGATCTATTTTAAGAAGCGAGGTTCTGGAAATAATTTCACACTCACATTAGGAGACATCTAAGCATAAATGGAAATCGTTAAGAAGAATTAGCACGAGATTGTAATGTGCAACTTGAAACAAGATATTAGAAAGAATATTTGGTCAGTTTAGACCGTCAAACCAGCAGAAAATAAGCCACCAAAAAGCAGCCAAATGTCTGACCGTCAGATAAAAGTTTGCACTAATAAAATTTACTTCAACTAATTCACCATCTATACATGCAGATTGTAAAGTCACCATTGACTCCTACTTGAATGTTTAAACTCTATTGCTAAAACAACAAATTCAAAAAGGGTATCGAAAGAGAGAAACATTATAAATAACCTACAAGAAAATCGTATCAAGTTTCTTATGGGATGACGGGTATCTATGTTGCATGGGTACTTCGAAAAATATGTCGTAATCATACCGGATACTTACCAGCGTATGATACTTTGTATAGTACTTTTATATACGTACCGAGTACACGAAACATGTATCCAAATTTTTTCTTTTTAATTTTTGTCGTGCCCAAACATATTTAGTATATACCTAAGCCGTAACGTACTTCAGTCGAAATAATATTTTCTTATACTACAAAGATAAAATTCCTTTCACTAGACTCTTTTTTTTTATTATTATTATTTTTAGTTTTATGCTTAACATGATTTTAAAATTAATTGTGTACTCAATCTTTCCCTCTTAAATACACATTAATGTATACTAATTGGACATTATTTTTTATGATTTTAAAATTAAGGTATGGTTTGTTAGTTATTTAATATAATGACATTTAGTTTTGATTTATACTTTTACTTTTAGCATTAAATGTTAATTGTAAGTTACATTTTAACAAATTAAATCATTTAATCAATTTTTGCATTACTCCAAATTAAAAATAAATAATTTTTTTACAAACGTACAAGTCATACCCATATCCGTACCCTACTTTTTTGGATTTTACCGTATTAACGTTCCCGTATTGTACTAGTACCCGTACTCATACTTGCACCCGTGCTTCATAGACAGGTATGCACTACTGATTCAACAAATTTATTGAAGTGTCTTAAGAAATGGGGTGTCCAGCAATTTTTGTGGGGTGCATGTAGATTGGTTTAGTTTCAATGTTAAACATTACAGCATATGATAAGAAATTTTTATTGTTGCCACCAATCATAATGATAAGGGGGAAAAAAATTAGGAAGTTAAACTTTAGTAACAAAGGAACAATGTTCAATTAACTATGAAAAAAAAATTCTGTTTATCGCACTCGAACGCACTCCATCATCCAAATGAATTCAAACGAGTTCGCTCATGAACTTTCTATTCATCATAAACCCCAATGTCCACCACGATCACTACAGTTGGATATTAAAGTAGCTGAAATCAGCTCATATCATCAGGATTTTCATATACCAATAAACATTTTCATTGATGCCGAACCCTAAAGATTCGATTGCGATTCAACTCAAAAACACCAAATAAATTTGAGAAATGAAAAATTAATAAAGAAAAGCTGAAGAAAGGACAGTGACCTTTTCCATCTACGGAATATGGAGGGGACGAAATAGCAGAGGAAGCCTGAACGGAGATTGGTCGCCGAGTCGACGGAAGATTGACCGGAGAAGAGGCGGAGTTATCGGAGAAACGGAACGATAGCCGGAAATTGCGATCGGAGAGGGAGGAAGAAGAGGAGAAAGAGACTGAATCGGAGGAGAGGTAAGATTGAGACAAAATGGCGGCCATTGTTTTTGGTGGGAGGGAAACAACCATGGAGTGGAGTGGAGTGGAGTGGCCTTGAGTTTCGACTGTGTTTTCAGACTTTGCAGTGGGTTTACATTAATATAAGCCTAATTTTCTATCAATTGGCAATGTTTAAGGAAAAAAAGTCTATCATTTCTGAATTTTTAATTTGCCTAACCGAAGCATATTGTTAGGTTTTGTGGAACTACTATAATTTTCATAGATAATTTGAAAGGTTCAATATTTAAGATTTTTCTAGTATTTTATTTTTATAAAAAAATTAAATTGATTTGATATTGTTAGCTATTTGATTAAATCAAATTTATGTTAATGGTAATTATTATTTTAAAAATAAATTATTAATACAAATATGATTTGATCAAGTGTCTATTTATATTAGAGTGCAATTTGGATGGGTTCAACCCGAGCAATCTGTACCCAATCCGAATTTTTTTTAGACTAGGGCAACAATATCTTGTAATCTGAATGGACATGGGCAGTTTTTTGATACCTGAATTGTAGTTTGGGCCGGGCTTGGGCAAAATCTGTGGGTAACCCGAGCAATCCGAACCCGAATTGCACATAATATATTATATGTATAAATTAAACAGGTGGCCTTTAATTTTTTTTTTTTGCTGGTCTTTGGCCCTTGGATTATAATATTTTATTTGGACCATTAGATTAAAACTAAAAACAAAATCCTACCTTAAGAACAGCGGAGATACAAGGGCCACGAACACGAAGTGCAACCACCAACAACGACGCCACCCTTTCAACACTCAACGATGCTATACAAAACTGGAAGATCCCTCTCTGTGTTTGTATTTGTGCTTTAATTTGTCTATTTTTAGTCATTCGTCGTTCGATTACCACTCAAAACCGGTGGATCTATGAGTTAAAATTTTTTTCTTAATAGATTTGCAAAATATGTTTATGTTAGTGAAATTTTGTGTATATATTTGTTTGGGTTATCTTCTTCCACCGATTTTGGTCTTGCAATCTAAGACGCTCAAGCTGAGCCACACTCATTCCTCTCTGTGGTTGTTTCTTTCTTCTTCTTTGGGACTGACTCGTTGGATTTTCGACTTTCTTCTTCCACTCTGTTTCGTGTTCTTGGGTCTAGACAGAGAGAGAAAAATGGGTTTGATTATGGAGAGAGAGAGAGAGAGAGAGTGTGTGTGTGTGTGTGTGTGTGTTTATGTTGAGAATCAACAAGAAATACCAGCCATGGGCTATGGCTGTGCTTTGCATGTGTTTGATTCCAAGTTAATATATATATATATTATTTAGTAAATTTTTGTTTTTGTGTTTTTTTGGTTATGTTGTGCATATGATTAGATAAAGAAGATGATTAGCCGCTTCCGATTTATTTAGTGGCCATATTTATTTGTTTGTCAATAATGCATTGATCTCAGATTTTCTTGAGAAAATGCTAAAAGAAATAGGTATATTATTATTTTTTGTTGGTGGGTTTATTTGAGGTCATTTTCCTTTCAATAAAGTTATTTGTGCTTTTTAACTTTGGGATTTTTGTGATAAGCTCTGTTTATTGCCTTGTGAAATTCGAGTAATTCGAGCCAACCCGAGTTCAAATTATGAAGCTTAGTCTGAGCTGAGGCAGCCAAGCTCGGGTTGATGGTCAGGCTTGGGCACTGCCAAACACAATTCGGACTGGGCCTGGGTAAACCTCTAACCCGCGCCAAATCGGCCTGAATTGCACCCATAATTCATATCCGATCAATATGATTTTTTACAAAAATAAAATATTTGATAAAGTCTATATATTGAACGGTTTGAATTATCGATATGAATTTCATAATGAATCAACATATGCTCAACAGAATATTCTAATTAGAAAACCCAACTAGACGAGAAATTTTTGTATGCAGATAGGATACATACCTTGTGGTATCTTCTACTATTGTGATTGGTTTTGACAGTAAAATTCACTATATTTATATTAAGTGTTTGGGGAATAATAATAAACATATATATTTGTAATTAGTGAAAGGTAGTACCACATGGTATCTTATCTCTATACAAAATTTTCTCAGACTAGACAAAAACTGTTTCGTTTTTATTTTTATGTTTTCTTGGATCCCTAGGTATTTGTGTTGAGTTTGAGAAGCGCATTGTCTGATTAATTTATCAGCAATGATTGAGGGCCACAATTTTTGTGGCTCAAATGGCTCGAAATTGTTAAAACGACGTCGTTTTGAGTACAAAACAACTTCAAAATTGTCAAAACGACGTCGTTTTGACAATTTTGAGCCATTTGAGCCACAAAAATTGTGGCCCTCAAACATTTTCCTTAATTTATGGGCAGATGCTTAGGTGGGGGATTTAAGAGTCCGATACCCTTTTAAAGACGAGTGGGGAATGGAATAATGGGAAAAAAATGTGATATACATATCTCGAGGGATTGTAACGGCATTATACACACTAATTATTAAACTAATTAATGTATTAATATATTTTATCATATTATAATTTTAAAATTATAAATTTTAATCATTGTATAAATTACAAAGATTTAAAATCAATAAAATTATATAATATTATCTATTAATATACTAATTGATATATTAATTAATGCGTATAACTTTATTTTAGAGATTAATATAATGCATGTGTAATAATTGCGTACAAGGGATGAGATCTCCACTAGGGATTGAAAATTTATGGGTCAGTTTGATTTAGTTTTAAAATAATAATTTGAGATTGGAATTGTATTTTGAATTTATGGATCTATTTGATTTAATTTGCATTTGGGATATATGTTGGCTTTTTGACTATTTTAGCTTGAGGCTAAAAAGTCTCGTTTATGATAAACTTTTTAACTTTTTTGACTTTTGTGAGAGAAAAAATGAAATGATTATGATTTGGATATGATATTTTGTCATATTGACTTTTTAACTTATTTTATCTTTTTGTGACTAAAATAGCCAAATTAAACTCATACCAAACATAGCCTTAGTTTTTGAATTATGTAATTCGATTCAGAGTTTGTATGGAAACATCCTACATTAGGTAAAAAGTCAAAATTACTTAAAAAAAAGTAAAAAATTGAAAAGATATTTTAAAAAGTCAAAGATTTTATTTATTTATTGTTTTTACACATTTTTTCGTAAAAATTTAAAAGTCATCCTAAATATTCTAATTTTTTTAGACTTATATTTTAGTCAAAATATTATTAAAATAGCTTATTCCAAAATCAATCATTTTTTATTTTAATAGAAAATGTTTGGGAGGGTTTTGTTAAGGAGTAAACTTTCTTTTGGGGATGGATTAAAATAGTTAAAATATTAAAAAGTCAATTCCCAAACTTCCTTTAAGTGTTCTAAAACTATCATAGTTAGAATAAAATTATTAAAATAATTAAGTTTAAAATAAAAAATACACACAAAATTCAAAAAAACATGGCTATTTTTTTTTGATAATCGGATATCTGAGCTAGTTTACGCACACATCGACTAATCCCGAGAACTAATCACATCACCCACTTGCGGGGGCTCCATTTAAAACCAAAACAAATGCCCTGTATGGACTGTCTCAATGAGCTTTTTGTAACTAGTGAATATTAAACCAGATATCTAAAGGAAACATACCTCCAAACCCCAAGTCATACTCACTTGACCAACCCTTTGAGGGTTAAAAAAAAAATTAAAAAAACTTGCCTAGTTGCTTTCTCTTTCTCACCATTCTTGTTAGCTAACTATGTGTTTACACTTACAATAATCATCTTTGCATCCTTCCTCCTTTCTTGGTTTTATTTGTTTGAGAGTTGTTTTAAACGAGTGTTGTTTAAGGCATGCGAAATAGTCCCTTCCATGCTTAATGGTTGAATCTCTTCGGAGGTTCATTACCAATGCATTACATCTCTCTCATGCCAAGAACAACTTCTTATTTGACACTTCTCTTCATTAGTGGACTTAATTATCATTTTTGGATTAAATGATTAAAGAATGGAAAGGTAATTAAAAGAGGCTAATAAAATTGGACTAAATGGTAACAAGAGTAATAAAATGAAGTCGGGTTCAATCGGACGTTAATTGAACCCATTGAGTCTTGACTCATTTCATACTTTCTAGTGATGATAATGGCTCAATAATTAATATCTACCATCTCCCTTGAGGTAACTCCATGAAAAGGGGAAGGTTTTGTTGGTCTTTACTTTTCATTTATTGAGACTTTGTCCCATCGATTCATAAACTCTTACGCAACGAGCTTGCGTCAATTGATGGTTTGCGAATTGAGTCTACCCCTCCCTTGATCTGTTTCATGATAGAGAGAGGCAGAAAGGACAAACATCTCCTAGAAATACTCTATTTGTTCTTTGTTTCGTTTCTGTTATAGCAGGGTAAACCCTCAAAATAGTCGCCGCGGCCACCTAACCATCCGGCCGACCACTTTTTCTGGCCGACTAGCCACTTCATTTTACATAGGTAGAGCTTACTACAACAAAAACACATTTTAGTGACATCATACTAGTGGCATGTTCTTAACAAATGTCACAAAAAGAATATTTGGTGGCATTTTTTAGAAAAATGTCATAGAGCCACAAACATACAAGGCTCTAGTGGCATTTCAATTAAAAAAAGTGTCACTTCACTACAACAAAAATGTCACTACAACAAATTTACACTTTAGTGACACTACACTAGTGGCATGTTTTTAGAAAATGCCACAAAAATAAAAATTGGCATTAAATGTTTTTAAAAAATGCCACAGAACCACAAACATATAAGGCTTTAGTGGCATTTCAATAAAGAAATGTTACATCAATTTTATGGCATTTTATAAAATAATGACAAAAAATTATGTTCGTGATATTTAGCAACAGATGCCACTAAACTTTAGTCGCAATGGCATTTTTTTAAAAATGTCAGGACACTAGGTAGGTGCAAATTACTTTTTATGGCACTTAGGTGAAAAGTGTCATAAACAAATATTTTATAGCATTTTGAGAAATGCCACTAAGCCAAAAATTTTCCAAGCTTATAATGGCATTTTTGAAAAAACAAAAAATGCCAATATATTTTCTAAATTTTTAAAATGCAGTAAATGATTAAAAATAAATAAAATTGAACT